CATCGACGCCAATCCCGAAAAGATCAAGGTCGTCCAAGATCTCCGACCACCGACCTCAGTCAAAGGGGTACAAAGCCTAACTGGCAAGCTGGCCGTCCTCAGTCGATTCATTTCCAAGTCGACAGACCGGTGTAAGCCGTTCTTCGACGCAATTAAGAAGAATCATAAGTTCGAGTGGACTCTGGAGTGCCAGCAAGCGTTGGAAGCTATCAAAGAAACCTTGTGCCGGGCTCCAACCATGCAGAAACCCAGGTCTGGAGAAATGCTCTTCCTTTACTTGCGAGTATCCGACGTGGCAATCAGCGCTGCCCTCATCCGAAAGGACGAATCTTCTCAACATCCTGTCTACTACGTCAGCAAGGCACTTCATGATGCCGAGCTGCGATACCCGCCGATGGAGAAACTCGCGTTCGCCTTGGTGACTGCCGCGCGAAAATTGAGGCCATATTTCCTCGAATATTCGATAACCGTGTTCACTGCCTACCCGCTGAGACAGATTCTTCACCGACCTGACACGTCAGGCCGGATGATGAAGTGGGCGGTGGAGCTGGGGCAATACGACATTCATTACCGACCCCGAACAGTAATGAAGGGGCAGGTACTATCGGACTTCATAGCCGAATTCACGCCAGGACTCAAAGAAACGAACGAACAGCCTTGGGTGATGTACGTGGATGGATCCTCCACTTCCGGGCGAGCAGGCGGAGGAGTCGTCCTCGTGGATCCCCACAAGAAGCTCTTTTGTCATTCGATACAATATCTCTTCCCGACAACCAACAACGAAGCCGAATATGAGTCATTGCTATCCGGGCTCGCCTTGGCAGAAGCCATGAGCCTAACTGACCTCATCATATACTCAGACTCCATGCTGATGGTTAAGTAGATATCCGGAGAGTTCGAGGTGAAGGAACCAAGACTGGTCCCATTCCTGGGGTTGGTGAAGAAGAAGCTGACCAAATTCCAGGCTAAAATAGAACATATACCCCGGATGGAGAACGTACAAGCCGACGCCCTGGCCCGTCTCGCCTCAAGTGCCGGGGTGGAAAGTGTCGAGTATGTCCAGGTCGGACACAAGGAACAACCATCCGTGCTTGGCACTTCCGTGCTGAGTGCCGAGCAGGGGGTGGAAGATCAAGACCCGGGCTGGATGGTCCCGATACGTTTGTATCTCGAGACCGGTGCGTTGCCGCCTGACTCAAAAGAGGCCAGGCAACTTCGTACTCGGGCAGCTCGATTTACAATCGTGGCCGGGGAACTGTTCAAACGGGGCTACTCGGCACCTTTGCTCAAGTGCGTAGATGAAAAAAGCACCGAATACATACTTAAAGAAATCCACGAAGGCGTATGCGGGAACCACTCAGGAGGGCACGCCCTCGCACACAAGGTCCTTAGACAAGGCTACTACTAGCCGAGTCTGAAGAAGGACGCTCTGGACTTAGCCCGGAAATGTACGAAATGTCAAATTTTCGCGCCCAACATCATCCAACCGTCGCAGCCCCTAAAATCGATCCTCAGCCCGTGGCCATTCGCCAGGTGGGGTGTCGACCTGATTGGTCCCCTTTCTACCGGAAAGGGCGGGGTGAAGTACGCAGTGGTCGCAGTGGATTATTTCACGAAGTGGGCGGAAGCTGAACCGCTTGCCACCATAACAGAGCAAAAGATGATAGATTTCTTATGGAAGTCCATCAT